TTTAATTTTCGTCTTTGCATATTAAACTTCAATTATTGTGTTCTTAAGTCTTAGCTAATCAACAAATCACATAACTAAACTAGGCCGTGAGTCCTTTGGGAGAACGATACTTGGTCTTACCAAGTTTATTACTTGAAACGATTCGGTCATACTTGCCGATTGTGAAACAAGTTTGTGACATCATATTTTGGTGCTTACAAATTTGTCCATCAGCCGCTCAGCGGTAAACTGACGCTAAGCGGTACTTGCGGCTTCTCTTCTTTTGCACTTTTTGAGTTCTTTTCTGATGCCATCTCTATCCTTCTTCACTTCTTTCATCAAATTCATCTTAAAACCTGCATAAAACACTAAAATAAAGCATAAAACTGTCCAACTCTCTTATTTATAATAATATGAATAAAAGCATGATTCTAAGCTAGTTTCTAAGTGTTAAAGGTTGCTTTTAGTATCAATTTTAAGCATGAAAATAATAGTTTTTCAACTATTATCACTGTCATCCCACCTTTCTTTGGCACTACGTATACTGCACTTACCCATGCACTGTCAAAGATAGGATATATAATGCCAGCCTCCAGAAGCTTTAAAACTTCTTTTCTCACTTCCTCCTTCATCACAAGATTCAATCTTTTTTGTGGTTGAGCAACAGGTCTATAATCATCTTCCATAAATATTTTGTGCATGCAATAAGTAGACTTATTCCTTTGAGATCTGTAATTGACCATCCAATAGCTCCTTTGTTGGCTTTCAATACTCCTACCAACTTTTCCTCTTCTAAAAGAGATAAAGAATTACTAATGATGATCGATTTCTTACCACCTTCCTCTAAGAAAACAAACTTTAAATGTGGTGGCAATACTTTCAACTCCAGTTTCTTTTCCTTGACCTCTTCCTTGGTATTAATCTTCTCCATCTCCATGATAACATGCTTTATCATCCTTAGGATGTGACATAGCTTCAAACACGTCAAAATTCATTTCTTCATCTTGAATTCTTACTTTAAGCATGCCATTCTCCACATCAATTAAGACTCTCGCCGTCTTCATAAATGGTCTCCCAAGAATAAGAGGCACATTCACATCCTCCTCCATCTCCATGATAACAAAATCCTCCTCCATCCTCGTCCTCCATCCTCCTTCATTTCATAGATCTATCTGCTAGTTGAAGAGTCATCCGTGTAGGCTTAAGTTCTAATCGTTCAATCTTCTTAAACACAGAGAGCGACATCAGATTGATATTGGCTCCCAAATCAATTAATGCCTTTCCAACAGAGATATTTCCTATAGTGCAAGGAATGTTGAAGCTTCCTAGATCTTTTAACTTGGGAGGTAAAAGTTTTTGTATGATAGCACTACAGTTTCCTTGTACTTCAATGGTTTCTTCTTCAATGTATTTCCTTTTCTTGGTGAGGAGTTCCTTCAGAAATTTAGCATATGAAGACATTTGTTGAAAAGCTTCGAAAAAAGGTATGTTAATCTCCAATTTCTTGAAAATTTCCATGAACCTCTCAAACTGTTTTTCCTTCTCCTTCATAGAATAATTCTTCGGGTAAGGAAGAGGTTTTTCATACACTTCTTTCTTTTTTCTATCATTCTCTTCCTCTCTTTTCTTCTCTCACTCTCCTCTATTTCTTTTTCTTCCTCTACATCTTTCTCTTTTTCACTCAAACTTTCTTTTTCTTTTCTCTCTATTGTTCTCTCATCTAAAATTCTGCCACTTCTAGTAACAACGGCTTTGCATTCCTCTCTCTTACCACCAAAATCTTCCACCTTTTGAACTAGATGACCAATTTGCATCTCCATCCTTCTGAGTGTCGATTCAATGTTTTTATGATGAGACACAGACATCTGCATCAACTGTTGAAGTGTGTCATCTAGCTTTGTAATTCTTTCTGATAGAGAGAATTGTTGCTGCCATTGTTGCTGTTGTAATGGTTTATTGAATTGTGTAGCAGCTTACCCAAATTGACTTTGTCCCATGTTTGGATGAGGTAACCAATCATAGTTGAGATTACCTTGATAGAATTGAGTGCCCATATAATTAACTTCTTGTCCAAAATGCATCCTGCATGCACTGAATACAAAACCCTAGAAATTCTGTTAGAACAAAACAAAAATAAAAAGATAAAAAGATATAAAAATTAAAATCAAGTCAAAGCTAATCAATAATCACACAAATAGAATAATTAAACCACGAGTCCCCGACAACGACGCCAAAAAACTTGTTAAGACTTCGACAAGTGTACCAAATCGTATCAAGTAATATAAAATGGTAAGACCAAGTATCGTATCCCAAAGGACTCACGACCTAAACAGTTATGTGATTTCTTGATTAAATAGCACTTGAAAACAAACTCTTTTAGGTTTAGAATGAAAATACCGAAAAGTATGTATGCATGCAATTTGATCAATTGGACAAAGGTGCAAAGATGAACGAGTTTGATATTATGGAATGAATATGTTGTTGGGGTTAGATTTCACCTTGTTTACTCTCATGTATATGCAAATTCTACTTCTTCATTAATGTTAATGTCACTCTCTAAACACTTAAAACCTGATTCCTCAGCGAAGAAAGTCAGTCTATCCTTAACTATTAGTTCATACAATTCCTAGCATTCCTAAAAATTAATTATGAAGAACAGGAGCTTAAGACAACCAAAACTCATACCCTCATTCCTGAGCAATATTAATTATGGGAATAATTCTCCATATCATGAATTGTAATCTACCTTCTGGTACTCATGCAAATCATACATCATGCTAAAGAATGAGTTAAACGAAACAAGCATTATGCAAAGAAGAATTATCGTAACAATTAATGAAAGAACCATATAATATCAAGAATCAATTCAATACATGAGACTTTACAAAGGTTACATCATCCCCAACAACAAATAGAGTTTAGTTCAACATGGACATGGTGAAACTAGATGAACAATGGAAAAAGAATAAAAGATAGAATCCTAGAAATTGAAGATAGGAGCTTCCACATCCAAATTCGCCTTCAAGGGAGTGAAAAGTGTGTTTCTGAGCCTATTTCGTCGAAAGATACGAACCCTAGAATGTGCAAGTCCTTAAATAGAACATAAAAATAACAAAAAATGGGTCCAAGCTCAAGGGACTAACGCTCAACGCCCCACTAATGGCGCTCAATGGTGTGCGGGTCAGAAGTTGCGCTCAGGGTCATCTCAGAAAAGCAAGGAGGCGTAGTGTGTCTCATCATAGTTGCGCTCAGTACCCCTTAAAACGGCGCCCGAGTGCGAGCCAGGAACATCTAGCGCTAAGGGCTCCAGAAAAGAGCAGTCAAGCGTGAGACAACTTACTTTAGCGCTGAGGGCCCCCAAAGTGGCACTCAACGCTATTGTGATCTCTCTTCTTTGATGCTTTTCCATCTTTTCCTGAGTTCCAACTCCTAACTACTTTCAAATCTTCTTCCAAATCATCTCAATTCCTGTTGAAAACACTGAAATCTAGCACAAAGCTATTACATTCACCTTCAACTCTCTTATTCATCAAAACCATGATTCCAAGCTAGTTTCTAAGTCAAAAGGGTGTTTTTAGTATAAAAATAAGTATCAAATAACGGTAATTCAACCATTATAATTGACCACCCACATTCATCAGGGGATGAGGCTCCCTCATCCAGACCTACTAGAGGAGCCACCAGGTTGAATTTTTTGATATTGTTGATAGGGGAGCACTGGTTTAGCTGAACCTACAATCTCAGAGCTTCTGCTTTTTTATGATGACAACGTAATTAATAACACATGTGCTGTTATGTGTTCTTTATGTGTTACATGTTCTATTACTTACATGCTATATGTTTTAATCATCGTGTAAATCTCTTTAAAGCATTGAGAACATCATTGTGTTGATACATTACATTTCACTGTCCTATATAATTGATTTTATTGGTGAATGCATGTCTGATGTTTCATAAAAGGAAAACCACAAGCACTTATGTTGAACTTTTAATTGTGTGGCAAAACAGTAGTTTTAAGTCGACTTCATTATGAAGTAAGTCGATTAAAACTCGTGGCTTTGCACAAACCACTTTCAAAGTGTGCTGTTAGATTTTCAAAGTGAAAGTTTTTGAAAACTTTATTTAACTGTGTTATATAGTCGATTACATGCAACCTGCATTCGACTAAGTCTGTTACAGTTTTAAAATTTTGTTAATGCTTGTATTAAAAGTTACAATGGCTATATTTTCAAATATGTTGACCAAGCATTAAATGAGATTCGACTGCTGATAACGGTTGAAAAACCGTTACTTTTATGCTTAAAATTGATACCAAAAGCAACCTTTAAGACTTTGAAACTAGCTTGAACTCATTTTTTCTTTAGTTTTGTGAATAAGAGAGTTAAAAGTGAATTTAATGGTTTTGTGCAAGATTCCCTTGATTTTGTAGGCTAATTGAATGATTTGAAAGAAGAATTGAAGTACCAAATGATTGGAATGCTGAAAAGTCAACCAGAAACCAGAAAAGTCAACCAATCAACTAGAAAAGTCAACTAGTGAACCAGAATGCTGAAAAGTCAAACAGAATACAGAAAAAGTTCGGCTGAGAGGTAAAATACCACTGAGCGGCACTTTTCGGGTGCCAAAATCACCGCTGAGGGGCAAAAACAACAGCTGGGGGCAAAATGGATCATGCGCTATTACCGCTCAGCGGTAAAATACCGTTGAGCGCCATTCTAAGTGGGCTTGGACCGGTTTTCTTTTGTTTTTATGGGCTTGGGCCTAATTTTCTGTATTTTAAGAATAATATATAAGCTTTAGGACGTCCTAGGGTTTGTATCTTTGACTGGGAGGAAGCAGAAACACACTTTTCACCCCTTAGGGGTAGATTGGGAGATGGTGACGACTCTCCTCTTCTCTTTCTAGGGTTTTTCTATCTCTTTCATTCTTTCATTATTGTTCATCTAGTTTCACCATGAATTTGAACTAAACCTTGTATTGTTGTTGGGGAATCAATGTAGTCTTGTGAAACTCTCATATATGGAATTTGTGTTAACATCTTATTTTAAGATACATGCTTTCTTTCATCATTAGTTAGGGTTTTTCCTCTTTGCTTAAAGCTTGCATTGTTTAACTCATTCATTACCATGATTATGTATTTTGTCCATATGGGAACGTACGGGGAAATCTAGATCCGGGGAATTTCTCCCAATAGCATATTGGTTGCCTTTAAGCTTCTGTGCTTCAGAATTAATTATTAGGAATGCTAGGAATTGTATGAACTCGTAATTAAGGATAGGCCTTCTTGTAAGGTGATTTAGATAGTGGCATTAACATTTGATGAAAAGAATGATGAATTCTTAAAAGTATATTAGAGTGGATAAGATGAAATTGATAAACCCAACAACATACTCATCCATCTAATTCATTAAAGTGTTTGTATTCCTCTTTTCCATTGATCAAATTCATGCATACATGTTTAATTACTGTCTTTTGCATTTAAAACCTACAATCAATTGTTAACAAGTCTTAAATAATCAACAAATCATATAGCTAACTAGGCCGTGAGTCCTTTGGGAAAACGATACTTGGTCTTACCTAGTTTTATTACTTGATACGATTCGGTCACACTTGCCGATTGTTAAACAAGTTTGTTGCGTCGTTTTTCGGTGTTCATAAATTTGTCATCAACTTCATTATTTGTACATTCAATTAACTGCATTGATTGTTGCTAACTGCTTTAACTAAATTGTGGTATTCGACTACAGTAGTAGCTAAGTCGATTAAAATGCGTCTGAATTGTGAAAATCTATAAGTAGACTCAAATTTGTTTTCTGCAAGAACTTTTGTGAATCTAACAGTTTGTGATATCTTTTGCAGAAAGTGCATTCTTACAGAAAGAGAGAAAGAGCTCCAAGAAACAAGAAGTGACCATCGTGATCATCTACTTGTGGATTCTTGAAGAGCAAGTTAATTGCATGTACAAACACTGATCATTTCTGCACATTGGGTATAACTGAGAGATCAGAGGCTACAATATTGTGAAGATTGGATTGAGGTTCCCTGTTGTGATTATAGGAAGAAGAGTGTGCTGCGTTCTTGACTATGAGGGTGGCTAAAAGGGTTTGGACTGTAGGAGAGGGGATTCTTGCTACTAGAGAGGTGTAGAGAGGTGTTTTATATTTTTGACGTGGATGTCGCTATAAAAGCCTTGTTGAAAAACCTCGATCATTATAGTGCATTTGCTTCCTGTGGTGGAAGGACACTGGATGTAGGCTTGGCCGAACCAGTATAAAAACTCAGCGTTTGATCTTTCTATCCCTACTCTATTATATTCAGTCGACTTTGTATTTTACTCATTCGATTATATTTCGCTGCACTACAAAGTCTTTTTCCTTGCGTTTCAAGAAAGTTTTGAAAGTTCATCCTTTTGTGAAAAAGATTTTTAAAAGACTTTGATTATTGAGTTTCACCAATTCACCCCTCCTCTTGGTATTGAAACTAAGCCATTCTATTTTCAACAGAAACAACTAATGGTCAGAAGAAATAATGGTGAAAGGACACCTGTGGAT